CGCCCCCGTTATCAAGAGGGTCGTATCCGCTTGGCAGCCGGAGGGGAAGGCGATGCATGGGCAACCGAGGCCCGGCGCCGAGCCGGCACCTGGACCGTCACCATTTGCGCGCCGTCATCGAGGCGGTCCTCCTCATGGTCGTCGTCACTATCGGAGAAGTCGGAAAAGGTGTCCCCCCCCACGGCCTGCGCGAGCGAGGGGTTCTGCTCTTCGTCTGAGGAGGAAAAGGGATTGTGGTCACTTTGGTGGCCGTTCGAGCCTTCGTCCTCGAGGTCGCCCCGGGCCGTGGGGTGGCGCTGCGAGCGAATGTGCTGCGCCGTGGCTTCAAAGTACTCAAACCCGCTGGAGTTCGGGCTCAAGTCGTCGCTGCCATCCGGGCTGGAGTCGCTCTGGGAGAGCTGCTCATATCCGGGAGCCGCCCCATCGGACTCCAGATCCGACTCATTGAGGATGGCCACACCGGACCCGGGGGTGGTGAAGCCGAAGGACCGACCGGCCGGAGGCAGGGCCGGCGGCTCGGCCAGCAGGAGGGCTGGCAGCGGCGACGCGGGCAGCATGGAAGCCGGGCCCGGCGCCATGCGCAAGGCCACCGATGGCAGATGCTTTGCATGGTCCGTGGCTCGGCGGAAGGGCTCGCTGGCAAAGTGCGGCCCAATTGGCCGCCCATCGGTGCCCATGCCGGTGGCGCTTGCTCCGGCGCTGAAGCCCCAGGTGCCTGGGCGGGCGCCAGGCGCCCCAAGTGCCGCCACGAGCCGCGCCCCCTCAGATGCAGCCGCCAGATCCGGGTCCACCGCCGCACGAGCCCCCTCCATGGCTGCGGCATATCGATCAGCCACATTCGGCCCGGCCAGTGGCCCAGCAACAAGCTGGTCATGATGCCAGTGCAGCGCAGGTTAGAAGTCAATGGTGTGTGGTTCCTCGCCCTCTTCGCGCCTCCGGCCGCTCCCTCCCTCCCTCCCCGTGCCCTCCCATCATCGCCATGCCCTCCTCTCATCCCTCGCTCCCGCAGGGACATACCATTGTCGGCGCCGAGATCAGGGCCTGCTCGAGGCGACGAACCCCGGTGGCCAGGTGCTCACGCGCAACATCGAGGCAGGGCGGCCGGGCATCTGTCAAAGCCCGAGGAGCATCGGACTGGCCCGGTTGGTGCTCGGGGTGCTCGGCGAACAGGGCCCCAAGAGGATCGGCCATGCGCTCACTCAAGGCCACCAGCTGGTGCAGATTCTCCAGACCGGTTGGGTCCCCGGCAGCAATGTCTTCATCGCTGCTGTCTTCTGCATGCCCCGAGGCAGGATGTGCCTGATCGCCAGCCGGTGGTGGTGGAGGTGGTGGTGGTGGCCCCGCCGCCCCGTCGGATGCCACCGGCAGGCCAAGTTCCAGCAGGCTGGGACTGTGGAACAGGCCGAAGTGAAAGGCCCCGGCCGCCTCCAGGCGAACCATGCAGAGGACCGCCCCACGGAGGGAGGCCTTGGGAAAGCGCGCCAAGTCGAGGTGCTCCGGGCCGAGGGGTGCCGAGGACCCGGCCTCGAGGGACCCCGGCTCCTGGGGGATTTGCAAGAAGTCGTGCATAAGTCGCAGGGTCCAGCGAAGCTCACGCCAAAGGCCTGCGCCGGCATGCCATATGTCAGCGAAGCAGACCCGAGGGAGGAAAGGCAGCGCGATGCCCGGCCAATGGCAGGCAGCGAGCATGGGCCGGAGGGGGCAGGGCATGGCCGAACGCACCGGGGGTCACACGAATGGCCACAACAGGCAGGGTGTAGATGGTTTTCGGGAAGAGATCCTTGTCATGCGGCGCCAGTCCGGCTGGTAGGCTGGGCTGCGTGAAGAAAAGCACATACAGGCAGAAGATGACCGCCAGGCGGGTAGCCATGTCCCGGCCGGCGAAGAGCAGCTCTGTGCGGGCGCCATCCGGGGCGCAGGGGGGGGGGGGGGGCCAGATGCCAATACCGGCCGCGGGCGGGGATGGGCTGCGGCCTTCGGGCCGGTGTGGCACGCACCGAGGACCACGGCAAAGAAGGAGTGCAGCGTTTGGGCGTGATTTCGCCCGGAGTAGATAACATGGATGAGGGAGAAATCCAGAGCAGTCCAGCAGGCCCGGAAGAGGCGCAAGCTGTATGCATCATCCGGGCCCAGCGGCGCGCGCGGAGGGGAGGTTGGCTTGGGCACCGGCGGGACCGGCAGCGTGTGCGCCATGCCAGCCGGTCCGGGCGTGACAAGTTCCAAGCTGGCAATGCGCTCGCCCCCGGACTGGGTGACGCTGGCATCCAGCGCCTCGGAGCTGGCCAGAAAATAGGCCACCAGGCGACTGATGTCGTGCCGGAACAAATGCATACCCCCGGCGACGTCGACCTCCCCGGGCATGGTGAAGCTGTGCCAGTGGTTGTATTTGGCTGGCCGGCCGCGCCAAAGGGCCAGGTAGTCCAGCCCCTGCCGGACCAGCGGCACGCTCGGTGTGTCGGGCGGGGCCATCGGTGCCTGGGATGCGCGCGCGCCCGTGTGCGAGCAGGAGGAAGGCAACAGGAACTGTACGGAAGAGGAGGAGCAGAGGGGGGGGGGGGGGAGGAGGAGGAAGAAGGTGAGCCTTGCAAGGGCCATGCGGCCAGGGTTGGGGGGAGGGGGTTCCCCCCTTTTACAGATGGCAGTACATTCCGGGTGCCCGCGCGCGCGCGATCGGGACCACATCTGTTTGTGAGTTGTCCCTCGCGGCCTCAAAGCGGAAACATGGGCCTGCCTCGCCCCCCCGGGAGCCCGTCTGCTTCGCATACGTCTCTGCACGCTTCAAGCTCCCGGGGGGG